AGCCCACCCCTGTCCTCACCCATCATGGGGTCATCAGCCGAGCCCGTGTTTTTTCACCTGGCAACTTTAAAATATGTAGACTTCAATTCCCAAGTCCCCAGCTGGTTGAAGTCCACACATCTTAAAAGCACCAAGACTGAAAAATGCTGAACTATACTGACTGACTGGGGATGATACATACAGGAATTCAATACATTTGAGGCACCAGGTTTGCTCAGAGTTTTGCAGCATAAATTCACGGCCAGAAAAGTAAACACAGATGGCTGATGCTTCATTTAACATCTTTATAAACATGTTAAGTAAATTTTACAATACCAGTTGTAGATTTCTTCAACATGGAGCAAACTCAAACCGAAGGAGACGTGTTACAAGTTCAGAGCAGATCAGCAACTCGACTTCAGCAGACAAGCAAGCAAGTTAGTTTCTCTTTCACTTTAGAGCTGAGCACAGAACAGAGATAAACCACGACCAGATTCTCTCTTTAAGTTTAAGATCTATTCCAGTTCATGAATATGCTCTGACAAGGTTGTGGAAGGCTGTCCTGCACAAAAAAAAAGGGGGTGGTGGTTTCCACCTGATTCCTGCAGTTGTTTGTGATACAAGGAGGTCACTAACACAGCACCTGTCTCGACTCAAAGGGATTTTGGATCAGAGATGGAAAAAACCAACTATGGGATAATTTGACACTTTCTCTTACAAGTCTGCTTTCAGTAATGAAAAAAAAATATAGCCATAAGTGACAGGAAAGGAAATGATTTTCCTTTTTACTGAGTTTGCCAATAATCTAGAGAGGAAATTAAGTCAGAGGGAAAAGGGAGAAAAGACAAATATTTGGAGGTCTTTTGACGGTTAAAGCTACCGATGGCTGAAAAGTTTGTTTTACTGCAGGACTTAGAGTCTGTTCAACTGTCAGTGCAACGTTCAAAATTGCCATTTGGATTTAAATTCTACTTGGTCAGTTGTTTATGAAATGCTGACATCTTCTGTCTTCTTTTCTCACACAACAAATCCACGCAAACACAACCTTTAAAAACATGGGGGGCTGAGGGGGGGCGTTGTTCCTGTTATACTCATGAATTTTTCCACATGTTTTATTTAGTTCGTTTAGTGCAAGGATCTCCGATTCAAATGCGTTGTTTCTTCTTGTGAGAGAACTTTCTTTCCTTTGGTATTTTGTTCCAGTTTCCCATTTTTGTTCTCCTTGTCTGGCAGAGGCCTTCCTTCTTCATTAGTTTTGCTTAGCAAAGAGAGCTTGTCTACCTGCTTGCCCGCCTGCTCTGGTTGTAACGCTGTCTTTACCACTCCTCACTTGGCTGACAGACCCTTCCAGAATGCAGCCAGACCAAGCCCTCCTCCATACAGACGTCTCCTATCTTTCCTTGGGCAGCCTCACCCTCCTGGCCTGTCTTCCCTGGCCAAGACTCCTCTCCCCACTGCGTTTCCTTGGAGAGCTTGGTTTCATCTTGGAAGCAGACTCCAGCCTGGGATTCAAGAGTGAGTGGGGCTTCCTTGAGAGTGGGAAGGTTCTTCAAGTGCTGGCTGGATGACCCAGGCAGGTAAGCCCTGCTGTTGTCAGAAGATTCACCAGGTTTGGCTAAGGTGTATTGTGAGCCTCCCACTACCAAGCCATTTCTCTCCCTGAACTGCTTCCCATACCCACCTTGCGCATTTATGTATGGCTTAACATTTTGATTTTGATGGGTCATATCTTCAGCACCATCATGTTATTTTTGCAGACCTGTATGCAGCAGAAGTGCTCCAACACTGGAGATTTTAAAGAAGAGATTGGATAACCATTTTTCTGAAATGGTATAGGGCAGGGGTAGGGACACTTGGCTCTTTTATCACTTATGGACTTCAACTCCCAGAATTCCTGAGTGAGCCATAAAAGGTTTCCCATCCCTGGCCTAGTGGTTTTCAGTTGTGGAGGAAATCATTTTTTGACTTGAATGGGACTGATTAATATACAAATATAGGATAATATTAAACAGTCCCATTCAAGTCAAAAATTGATTTTCTCCACAACTGAAAAACCACTAGGCCAGGGATGGGGAACCATTTATGGCTCACTCAGGAATTCTGGGAGTTGAAGTCCATAAGTGATAAAAGAGCCATATTTCCCTACCCTTGGTAGAGGGTTTCCTGCCTAACCAGGGGTTGGACTAGAAGATCTCCAAGGTCCCTTCCAACTCTGTTATTCTATTCTATTCTATTCTATTCTATTCTATTCCATTCCATTCCATTCCATTCCACTCCACTCCACTCCACTCCACTCTACTCCTATCCTATCCTATCCTATCCTATCCTATCCTATCCTATCCTATCCTATCCTATCCTATCCTATTCTATTCTATTCTATTCTACTCTATTCTATTCTATCCTATTCTGTTCTATTCTATTCCTATGGGCAGGGTGAGATGCTGTGATGCATACAGGTTTCACAAATTGGTCTTGAGGTTAAGGAAGTTTTGTTTGGGTGCCAATTCCATGCAAAATGTTAGACACAGAAGCTTATATAATTAAGGCATTTGTAAGCAGGCACATCTGCTTTTTGGAGAAAATATATCAGGAAGGTTTGCTAGACAGTGGAGAGGCTGGTATTGTGGTTGTGTTGCACATCAAAGATACTGTGTATCAGGAGACAGACCTTGGAAGAAGGTGAAATCTCAGCAGCCAGCAGTATCAGAAAAGGAGCAGTGTAGAGCAGCCTGGCTGGTGAAAAGGATTGCATTTGGAGAAGACAGATCAGAAATCAATGAGAAAAACTTGATCAAGTCTGGAATTCCCCAAAAGGTTTGGGAAAGAGTTATTTCACTCTTTTTTTCTGTCCTCCTCCCTAACGCTATACCCAGAAGTGAAGGTACCTTTGAACTGCCTGATAAGCTTAGCATGAGGTGAAAATATTAAGGATCCAACCAGTCTTTTACTGAAACCCATGATCAAACTGGCCAAGGATTTAATCCATCCTCACCCATGGCAGGTCACTTGGTAACTTTGGCCCAATCACTCAACCTAACTCACAGGTCTAGGAAGACAAAAGGTAGGAGGGAGCACTGCTAGCTTGAAAGGTAGAAAGGAAGGATATAATTTTAGCAAACAAGTTAGCAATGGACATTTGTTGGTCAAGAGTAAAGAAAGACACCTAAAAGGGGCATTCAGGGGCAGTTTATACTGTCCATTATACAGCAACAAGAAATTAGCCATTACTGAGGGGAGTCAGTCATGTGGGTATTCCATTAAATCTGTGTCCCTCCAAGATTTGTGGGTTTATTTCCCAGAATAACAGTTTCAGGAAGATAACTCACTCTTTCTCATAAATAAGCAGCAGGGTTTTTGTGCCAAGGCCTTCAACAGTTTCACCCCTCCTGCTTGGTCTTTTTCATTCTTCCAAAATACTTTTTTTTTAAAGCCTTCAAATTATAGCCAGACTTCTGCTGAAAATCACCCCAAAGCAGACCTTGTTTAAAGATCGCTCAGATTATATACATTCTTGTTAAATGACAACCCTCTATAGCTCTTCATTTCAGAAAATAGAAAATGGCTCGGCTCCCAGGTTTATCAGGAGGGCAGCCAAATGCTAAATTATTCTGTAAGCTCTTGAACTGAGACACTGCATTAAGCAATGGGTCTTCTGGGGTGGTACATTTAGAATATGAGAAAGAATGGTATTGCCTCTCTCAGCAGTCACACATGCCCCCTGGCCATTGCCTACTCTAATAAAGTTAGGAATATGATCAAGGTTCAAATAGAAATGTAATTTTTGAAATGCAAGTTTATTGCCCCCATGCCAACAATGTTTAGAAGGTCCTTGAAAATTTCCTATGGCCCTGGGTGAGGGTGGAAAGACAAGGATTTTGTATGCTAAATTGAAGGTATTTCTCTAGATACATATCATTCTTTTTTTGGTTTTTACCGTTTTAATGTTATTCACCACCCAGAGTTTTCATGAAGTTGGATAATTTTCTGAATTAAATAAATAAATATATATGAAACATGATATATATAATATATATAAAACAATGTCCTTTTGGTGGGTGGGTGGTGCATTTATAGAGATATAGAGATCTTCACCTTTAATAGAATAGAATAATAATAATAGAATAGAATAGAATAGAATGGAATAGAATAGAATAGAATAGAATAGAGTAGCGTAGCATAGCATAGCATAGCATAGCATAGCATCGAATAGAATAGAATAGAATAGAATAGAATAGAATAGAATAGAATAGAATAGAATAGAATTCTTTATTGGCCAAGTGTGATTGGACACATAAGGAATTTGTCTTGGTGCATATGCTCTCAATGTACATAAAAGAAAACATACATTCATCAAGAGTCAAGAATGTTAAAGTGCAACACTTAATAATTGTCATAGAGTACAATAAGCAATCAAATCATATTAGGAAACAGTTAATAAAAATAGTTAGGATACAAGCAACAAGTTACAAGTTACAGTCATACAGTCATAAGTGGGAGGAGATGGGTAAAAGGATGGGAGGATTAATAGTAATAGTAATGCAGTCTTAGTAAATAGTTGAACACTGTTGAGGGAACAATTTGTTTAGCAGAGTGATGGCGTTTGGGAAAAAACTGTCCTTGTGTCTAGTTGTTCTGGAGAGCATCATTTTGAGGGAAGGAGTTGAAACAGTTTATGTCCAGGATGTGAGGGGTCTGTAAATATTTTCACAGCCCTCTTTTTGACTCGTGTAGTATACAGGTCCTCGATTGAAGGCAGGTTGGTAGTAATTGTTTTTTCTGCAGTTCTAATTATCCGTTGAAGTCTGTGTCTGTCTTGTTAGGTTGCAGAGCCAAACTAGACAGTTATAGAGGTGCAGATGATAAATGATTCCTCTGTCGAACTGTATCAGCAGCTCCTTGGGCAGTTTGAGCTTTCTGAGTTGACGGTTAAGGGGTTCAATGCCTTCTGTGAGCTGAAGTATTTTGGGGTATTCTAATTTAGAAGAAAGAAAATGACAACTAAGGGATAATCTGGTGAAAGGCTTATAAAAATCACTCTTAGTTCAGATAACAGGATAGGGTTTTTTTTTTTTAATACTAGAACTCTTGTTGAAATCAAGTGGCAGCCAAAAAAGTTGATCCATTTTGAATATGCATCAAATTTGCCATTTCTGGGACGGGGACATTTCTATCTGCTCATCAACTGTAAAGCTCCACCCTCCTTTCCTATCAGCCTTCATTATCTAAAGGGAGATTTAAATCAGGCAGTCCTTCAGGGAAAAGCAACCCTCTCCAACCATGTGCTTTTGGTCACCTTCTCCAGATCAGTCAGCTGGCCAGTCTGGAAGCTGCAGTTCAATCTGTTCATAGGACACCCTGTGAAACAAGGCTGAGCTTAAGAATGCTTTTGAATACTGATTACCATTGGTGAACTGGCCATGCGAAGTTTTGGATGAGAGCAGCATTGCTGCTTTTAGCCCAATTTGAGAAGAATTATCTGAAGCATCTGGTGAGTAAAAACCTATTAATAACTAAAAGAGAGCCAGTTTGGTAGAGTGGTTAAGACATCAGGCCAGGAACCAGGAGCCAGCCAGGTAATCCTGGACCAGTCACTCACTCTCATCCGTAGGGAGCAGGCAATAGCAAGCCACTTCTGAAAAACCTGAAGTTCTACCTGTTTATTATGTGTGTCACACCTTTGGTCGGAATCTGATTGTACTATTCTGCCACTGCTTTGACTTTTTAAATCATACTTTATTTATTTATTTGATTTGATTTGATTTGTAAATTGCTTACAAGATCATAGGTATAAGTATAAACATAGTTATGAATACATGGATACATATAAGAAAAATAAAAGAAACAATTGGAGAGGGACAGCAGGCACATTGGGGCACTTATGCACGCCCCCTACAGACCCCTTAGGAAAGGGGTGAGGTCAATAGTAGACAGTCTAAGGTTAATACAATATAAGAATAGAATAGAATAGAATAGAATAGAATAGAATAGAATAGAATAG